AAAAAAAAAAAAAAAAAAAAATTACCACAGATTTCATCAAATCTGCCCAGAACAAGAACCACTGGTGTGTGCAGGGAGATGCACATAGTAACCAGTGCTGAGAACAGAGACAGGATGTGGGTGCATGGAGGCCAGACAAAAGCAGCTGCATGGAGGGCGTGTGGAGGAAACAGCTGAGATGAGAGCGTGGAGCGTGGGCTCGTGTTGCCGGTGCCTTAAAGTATATGAATTCAGAGGTCTCAGGAAAGAGGAGCAGCAAGGAGACAGAAAAAGCCATCAGAGTCCACTGAGACGAGAGGATTCCACAAAGGTAAGCGTTCTCAAAGGTGTAAACTGGAAACCGGAATGAAGGTAGAGCTAAGCAAAGAAATAAGGTACATTTGATTAAACGGAGTTGCTCTTTCAAAAATCAGAGGGAATTGGGCAAGAGAGACGATAACAAAAGCAATAATTTTTTAACCCCACTGAACTGTTCCTTGGGGTGGCCGCTAGCCAATGTGCTTATTTAAATGTAAATTGATTTAAATAAAGTTAAAGATTTAGTTCCTCAGTCATATTAGCCATAACTCAAATGCTCAATAGTCACATGCAGCGAGTACCTACCATTTTGAACAACACAGAGAATATTTATGCTTTGCACAAAGTCCTACTCGACAGCACTACATTAAGGACATTAAAAGGAGTAAGAAGGAGAAAGGGAAAGAGAGAAGGATGATCTTTCATAATTTCTCCTGTCTCACTGTGCTTAATGTCACTAGCTATGGCATGACTCTCAGGGCTGCCACTTCGCTGCCACACTGGGGTTCTGCCACACTCCCTCTCCAGAGAGCTGCCCTACAAATCTCTCTAGGTTGTTGGGATTACTGGAGCAGGACATTAAGTTACAAGTGGAGCCAGGGCTGAGCTTCAGGGAGGATCATTGGATGGATCAAGAGGACCTGTGTGCACCGTGGCATCATGCCCAGAATCCAAGGAGGGCAAAGCACTCACTTGCCACTAGAAGGCTGTGAGAGCAGATTCTTCTGTCCCAGGGAATCTTCTGGCAGAAAATCCCACTAAGAATTGCTCAGCCAGAGTCACAGGTCCATACTCACATTCTATCTTACTCGACTAATGAGAAATTTGGCCTGCCTGTCTCCTTTTATTTTATTTAGTCACATCAACCAATCCTTACAATTTTTATTCATTGCAAGCAAACCCAGGCAGCCTTCTGTCTTCCCTCTGTGCTCTGTCATGTAAAACAGGACATTTCAAACCACCATCAACCTTCGCCACGTCTGTGGTAAAATGGCAGTAAATGTAGTAAAATTACTGTAGACCGCCTGTCCTCAGAGGCACTTTCTCCCTTTCTGGGACACTTTCTCGGCATCCTCTGACTATAATCAACATCTTATCAGATAGATCTGTTGTTCCAAACTAGCATTTCCAACCATGAAGGCATCTGGCACCTGTAGGCTTTCGGCCACTCACGATGTTTGTATAGCCAGGTGGGAAGATTCACCAACACTGTGCTCTGGCACTGCCTTGTAAGGGTCACTAGTCTCAGAAGCCTCGGGCTGGTTCAGCTTTCCATCTGCATGTGTGGGCAGCTGTTTCCTCAGCGCGCTCCCTATGTTCCAACTAGCTCACTATGGGGATTCTTGGCTCTGGGCTTGGGAATCCGCGCTGACTTTTAACACACCTCACCTGAAGAACAGCTCTCGGTTACTCCATTAGCACTTCAGACACTGCACTTGGTTTTTAAAATTGTCAACAGGATTTCACTGGCTGTTTACACTGCTTAGTTTGGGTCTAGTTTAGTGGTAAATATTGTGTTTTGTTTTACTGTGTTTGAAAAGGACAGGATTCTTTCAAGGAGAAAAATAATTGGAGGGAGAAAATATTCATTTAGTGAGAAAATGGAGGCTTCTGTGAGTCAGGCTGTTCACTTGAGGGAACTGTGACTTACGTAGAAAACCTAATAATTGTAAGTGTCATAGGGTGGCTTGACTCCTAAGTCTCAACATTAGCAATTTTTTTTTTTTGTCTCTTAGAAAATAACTAAATCTTTCCTAACATCTGTTAAGATGGAAATCTTGTAATTTTCTACCACCTCTGGAGAGGTTAGGTTGAACATGAGCCAGAAAATCCTCTGAATTGCATGAGCACCCAAACTACCCCTCCCTTTTTAATATGGGAAGAGTTAAACAACTGGTAAATAAAGCCCAGGATGAGAAGCCCCTATCAATTGCATAACTCCATATTTTGGTCACTTGAAGTGCCTGCCACTGAAAACCTTTCAGCAGAGCTGTGAATCTTCCGCGCCCCGTGGAAAGCTGCTTCCAGCTGGCAGAAGGGTGTGTCCCTAAGCTTCTACCTGGGAGCAATGATGATCTTGTCAAGCATTTCAGTGAGACCAGCCCAAGTTTTTAGGGTGGGGATCCAGACTGGTTATACGTACCTCAGTCCTTCTCCCAGCGGAAGGCAGAAACACCTCAAAGCCTGCATGTAAGAACATCTACTGAGAAATCATTTTAATCAGATACCAGCTGAGTGGGAGAAAGAAAAAGAACAGAGAACAAACGAAGCTCCCTTGGTCTTGGATGTGAGGGACGCCGCGGCGGCGATGGACTGGCCACCCTTCACAGCAGCTGCCCTGCTCCTCTGCCTGGTAAGTGGACTCCTCAGGGAATTCCTTCCAACTCATCCTCGTCCAAAGCAAGTGAGAACCCTGTAGACAATGCTATTCAGTGGTCCTTCTAACCTAAACCCATTAAAAGTTTATGCTAATGACAAGGTGATTTTATGAAGTAGATTTTTAAATAGTGTTTCTCACCTTAATTGAAGACTCCGGATCGTATTAACCACATCCATTGTCCATTCATCATATCATAAACCCGACATCGAAGTCACTGCTAAGACACGTTGAGAAAATATTGAACTGGTGACATTTCTATCCCTCCTTAGTTTCCTATTTCAGATTCTCATGTGCCAGTGGGCTTTTAAACTAAATGTTATAAATGTCTCCTGATATTCAACCTAAACATTATCCTATTCTTTTGGTATCTTTGGTGAAAGGGTCCCTATAATTTTTAAGACATAAAAACAGCATTCATATAAATTAAAATCATAGCATTCTACCACTGTCTTCAGAATCTGAGCAATCTCACTAATTTATGGGCTGTTAGAATCCATACTACAAATATTCAAAGCCCAGCATTGGGTAATGGTAATTTGATTTAAAACAGTATTTTTATTTTAAAGTGGCAATATAGGAGATTGATAAATAACACAGTAGGTAAAAGAATGGCTGTAATTAAAAAACAAATGTAACTATCGCTGCACCTGCTCTCACTACAAAAAGTCAATGGGCATTACGCAGTATGCTGGCCACAGGCAGTGGTGACTTTATTGAGAAAGTTGTATACGGTGGTCAGACAATGTAGTGAAATGCCTTTTTAGTGCTCCCTCTCTCATTTTACTGGTTCTGTCTTTTCAGAGATGATAAATATTAAACGCAACATCAATATTTTATATCAATTTCACATTCAGCCAAAAGTTTAGTCAGAGTCTCTCCAGGTAAGGTTCATGTGACCCAGAGGTCTATGCCAGGTAGATTGCCCTCCAGCTTTGGCAGGATGTGCAGTGGCTTTGCCTCCACTTGCTCGAGTTCTGAGCTGGAATGTTGGGTTTATATAATAACAAGTCAGGTCTTTGGTTCATGGTCTGCTGGTTAGTTGATTAACCGAGAAGAATCAAAACCAGTTATAAAGGAGCATCAGTGCCACGATGGCTTTAGTTCTAATATTGCCTTTCAACAATCACCCCTATTCCACGGACATTTTACTGGCCTTTGAAGATTAGTTGATGTCATAACTTGGGCTATGGCCAGGGTCAATGAGCATTATACTGTATGCTGCCCATAGGGACATTGTATATTGCCAAGCAACTGAATATTTTCATTTTTAATTTTATATGTTTGACTCATTGACAATTATTGTCTAGTTTCAATTGACGAAAGTTCTTTCAGCTACTTTTGCAAATTTTGTTGAATCTGTTTGACTTATTTCTTAACTCATGTAATTATTTCCAATGAATTACACCTTGTAAAACTTCTTTAAACAACCATGTTCTAATTATTCATTCTTCAGTAAAGTCTATTACTTTACCAAAAGTGTTTAGCCTCACAGAACTTTCAGCATTTGGAAAGAGTTTTCTGGGCATTTGCACTTTATTTTCTGAGCCAAGGTGTTGTTGTTTGTTTGTGGATTGGCTTTGGGAGGAGGGGGATGTGTGGCCGTATTTTACTTTGGAATCAGTCATTAGTTTCTCATATGCCTTGTGAAAACTATTTGTTTAAAAAATAATGAACTCAGATGTCTTATTTTCACATTGATATCATTACTTTTTGTTAAATGTCACACTGTCTAAGGCTTTGAAGATCATAATTTATTTTGAACTGTTGATTTTGCAAGACAGTTTTGGTAACTGTCCTTTGGAGCTAAATGTCTGTGTTTTATTTTAAAATATGTTTTCCCTAAAGACAACCATGACTACAGCAAACTCTTCCAATTTCCTTTCTTCTAGTCTCAATATGAATGTTTGCTTTTGCAAACAAAGGCAAAAATGGTCTTTGAGAGAAATTATGTTCTTCTCTGCTCAAAGTGGGTAAAATTCATGTTAGGAATATAGTTGAAAAACTCATAGTATCTTTAAGGCAAAACATGTAAGAACTGGGCAACTGTCTGCTGTGAAATACACTCAGTCTCTGTGAAAGTTTTATACCTTGTTCAGATCAGTGGGTTAGATCAGAAAGCATGAAGCAGAGGAGCCAGGTGTGGTGGCCAACGCCTGTCATCCCAACGTATCTGGAACCTGAGACTGGAATTTTGCAAGTTCGAGCCCAGCCTAGGCAATTTAGCAAGTCCGTGTCTCCAAATAAAAATAGAAAGTGCCATGGTTGCAGCTCAGTGGTAGAGTGCCCTGCGTTTAATCCTCAGTGCAACAAAACAAAAAAACAAAAAGCACAGGTGTTGCTCCTAAAGTGATGGGGATTGCTATGTGAATACGGCATTATTCAGACAAGTCTTGGGGGGAGATAATAGCTCACACCCGCTATAACACTGCAAGACAAAAACTAACTTTCTTTCTTTCTTTCCTTCCTTCTTTCTTTCTCTATAAAGTCAATGTATAGAGTGGAGCGAGGAGTTAGAATGTATTTTCTTTTAGCCAGAGAATGATGTCATCTATGCACTAAATGTAAGAAATCTGTGTGGATGGTTGTGATAATGGTAAAATAAAGAACATGGTCACCGTGGGAAAGCAAAACAGAACCAGTAGAATTTCTACAGTTCTAATGATTTCTAAAAATTACTTGCAACTTTGCCAGGTCCAATTAATCTATTAACATGTATATGATCTGAAAAATGAGTTGTTTTTTTTTTTTTTTTTTTGCAGTACAGATTCAACCTAGGCCTTTTGCACTAAGCAATATCCCCAACCTTCCCCATCCCCCTTTTTGAGACAGGGCCTCCCTAAGTTGCTAAACTGCCCATGCTGGACATGAATTTGCAACCCTTCTGCCTCAGCCTCACAGCTTGCTGGGAATACATGTGCAAAATGCCATGCTGGGACCTGATGTGATCTTTTTCTATAAAGGCAAACTTCTATACTTCAAGTTCAAAGAACACATGAAATTATTTTTATCTTTCAGCACAAATGATCTAATTTTTTTCATTTTATCATACTACCTTCATCTTTTTCAATAGGTTAATATTTTCATTGAAAAAAAAAAAAAAACTCCACCTGATTAACAAACTCCTTAATTTGAACTTGGTTGAAATCCTTTAGGGAATGAGCAGTAGTTTTTCAAGTATTTCTCAACACAAAGACTAAAATGCATTGAGTAGAATATTTATTTTTATTTTTATATCGCTCATTGACTTGAACCAGAGGATGTAAGTTCCCTTCATTGTGTTCACTGTCCCTTAAATCAAAGGAATGGCTAAAAAAAAAAAAAAAAAAAAAAAAAAAAAAAACCAGTAGAGACCAAAGAGAAGACAAGCCCAGGGAGGACTCTTTATGCTTTCTTCTGTACATATTACAGTTCTCTACAGTATAGAGATTAATATTTCAGCAAAATATTTTCTAGAAAATGGAAATAGTATTTTTGTTTCCATGTTCAGTAAAGCATCCTCAAGAAAAATAATTTCCCACTGACACAGTGTTTTTTAAAAGTTGTATTAACTCAATGCAGATCCTCGACCAGCATCTTTTTTCACCTTCACGAACATAGAGAATATAAATTCATCACCACTCCATTTATTGGAGTTGCCACAGACTTACAACATCTTGCCATCCCCGGGTTTTGAGTAATAGGAAAAAGCACCGGGGAAAACTGTCATGTTAAATCTGAAGGCCTGGCCCTAAAGGACAAGATTCGCCTACTCTGAAGAGGCTCGTTCATTTTAAAAAATGACACTCTGGTCTCTGCCAGAGTACGTCATCTCTGTTAACTCTCCACCCCGTGCTCACCAGAGCCCCGCTGATGAGAACCCTGTGTCCTGACAGACACTGTCTCGTGTAGAAGCTGGAAGCTTGCTCCGCGTGGCCTTGTACTCATATTTCTTTTGCTGCCTCAACTGAGGTAACACCCTTCCTGAGTGCTGGGTCATGCCACCCTCACAGGTTATGCTTGGCACTCCAATCCCTTTAATGGACTTAGACAGGTCAGACGTTTTAAAATGTCCTTGGCAGCCGATCCATGTTCTTAATCGGTCTACAAGAACAGAGCACAGTCTTTTATACTTGTCCAACTCCACAAATTAATAGCTGCCCATTGCTTACAAAACTACTGGACTGTAAGTTATTTGAAAGCAGGGTCTGTCTGATTCACCTTTGCACCCACACAGCACCTTGCACCATGGCAAGATTGCACAACAAGTATCTTATCATGCACAGCAGGGGCACCAGCGGAGGGCGGGGATTGAGGGGTGGTTTGTGCTTCTCTTCTCACACCCCTAAAAACTGTCCAGGCATTTAGGATGAAAATAATCACGTTGGATTTTCTTAACACTTTCATGATACAGTGTTGCATTTACTCAACACTTCATCTAAGGCTTACCATAATATTTTTAGAGTTAGCCCTTAAAAAATCTTAATGCCGTCTTGGAACCATTTAATACATAAACAATATGCATTTATCAAAGAAATACACCAATGAATAAATATGAGAAATCGAGCCACTGGACTGTGATCAGCCTCAGACTAATAGCCTGTACCAGAGCAGTGAAAAGGAAAGGCAAATGAGGAAGTTTTCAAAAAGACATATTATATTTTACTTTTGTTTCAAGGGAATCCCTGTGACTTACATAAGAATTAGCAAATACATTAGGGTTTGATGTTTAACTAATTGTGACTACTTCACAATATTGGGTGAAATAGACTTTCTTTATAAAAATCATTTTCTCCAGTCAATTTTTATTATAAACAAAATAAGCTTCAACGTCAAAAATTGGTAAAATTGACTAACTAGGGAATCATTAAATTAACACTTTTGCATCCTGTGGTTTTAATAAAATAAATAAATGGATTGATTCCCAAAACAGAGGTTAAAGAAAGAAGTCACTGAAGATTCAGGCGAGTTATTCACTGCTTAACATAGTTGTAGGTTTACAAAGGGTTTTGGTGTCATATCGATGAGGAAACTGAGGCAGAGATTGGCTATGTGACTGCCCCAGTCCCCAAAATCAGTAGGCTGAGAGCTGATACGCTCAACTTGACCCCCTCCCATCCACTGAGTAAGTCCCCATTCCAGCCTCCTTACACAAATTTCCAAATTGTTTCTGAACTCCAACCACTCCCTCAATTGTCAGAAAACAGGCTCACCCGAGCTCTGAGCTCTACCGACAGGATCTCGGTCACTCTGAACAATGGTCCTTCAAGCTTTCCTTTCGAAATGGGTTTACTGTAATCCCCATCCTTTCCCTGTTCTTTGTCCAGTCTCCCAAGTTCTTTCATTTCTGCCTTTCCCCTCTTCCTGTTCCCATCAGCACCCTGCTGAGTATCTTCCTTTTGAATCTCTTTTCTTTCAGATCACAATATCCTGCTGTCCTTTGTCAACTTTCCAAAATCTACAGATCTCGCAGATCGAAATTTCCTTGATTCTTACTTCTAATTCTATCATTTTGTGGTCCAGTTTCTTTTATCAACACATTTCTTGAAAAATGACTTTGTCCCTCTTTTTATTCCTAGTCCTTTTCAGGCAAATGTTTCTTCCACCTCACTGGAAAAATTCCCTTGAAGATGGCTAAAAACCTCAGGCTCTCCTCAGAATTCACTCAGCTCCGCTGTCTCTTGGATCACCTGATGACCGATATTTATGTTCACTCCATCCATCTTTCGGTTTTCCCCTCCTTTAACAGCTCCAATAATGCATGAGATTCTCTCGCTGTTTCTCTGGCTTCTCTCTTTGTTTCTTCTTGGTTACACTTGTTTCCAGTTCTACAAGTGTAGGAATTCCCCCACTGTCCTCCTCAGCCACAGGCTGCTTCTTCTGTACCCCCTACTTTGGGATTTTCTCCCATGATTTCCACTACTTCCCTGAGCAGATGTGCCTCAAATCCACATATTCAGGCTGGACTTGTGCTCAAAGTGCTGATGCTTATTTCAAACTGCTCGGTATCTCTTCCTGGGCATTTCTCCAACATCTCAAATTCAATGTGTTCCCATCTAAATCCTGCTACTGCTTTGTGCCCAGCCCCATTCTTAAAAACTCGCCACCTCCTGAGATTCCCACTTCCTCTCCTGAGTGCCTCATCCCATCTGTCTTCAAGTCCTGTCCACGCCTTCCAGCCAGTGAGTCCCTCCTTGATCGATTCCTGTGGTTCCCACTGCTTGTTTAGCGCGTCCTCACCTCCAGCCTGACTTGCTACAGAAGGCTCACTGCTCTCAGCCTACCATCACAGCCTCTGCCCACCACTCCTAGGGACAGTTGTCTGAGGAGTCTTTTAAACCCACGATTTTATCACACCTGTCCCATGATCAAAACACTTCGGTTTTGTCCTACCGCACACAAGGATTTGGTGTTTGACTAGAAAAGGCACTTTGTACATAAGCTAGGCTAACCTTTATTACAAATGAGCAAACTAAGGCTCAGAACATTTAGAAAATACGTGTTTTTCTTACTCTACCCTGAAATCTTTTCATTACATTTTGCATTTGAAGGTTTGTGTCTGGCTTTATTCTGGACCTTGAGCAAAAGAAAACAAGCTTAGGTCAACTGGCCACATTTTAAAGCAGACGTGGCAGTTTTTTAATTACCCATGCAATTGACAGTCTGGCACTATGGTGAAACCGACTTGGTCTTCTGCCTAAATCGCCTCTCATGGGAAAAGGAATGACCCAGCTCCATAAAGTCACAAAGACTTCTTAGTCATCCAGCGTAGTGATCCAAAGCAAACAGCAGGTTCTGACCCTTCACTGCAGGAAGAGAAGGGCAAAATGGGTAACTGATGTGTGCACAGTGCTGTGCACATGACTTCCAAGCACACAGGCCAGGCTCCCGCGCCCCGGCCCACACCCACAACCTACACAGAGGGAAGGGAGCCCGTGACTTCGCAGGTCGGGGGAGACTGCCTTTGCATTAACGTCCTGTCCTTCTGCGCGCAAGATGGACTCCACGGACAGCACTGCAGTTCCCTCTGCCCGCGTCTCGGCCATTCAGCACCCCATGGCTCTCCTTTTATTACTGTTGTTACTGTTACATGTAGTCGTGATTCCTCACAAGGATAACTTGAAATTTAAGGAAAACCCCAATTTCTTTAGTTCTTAAAAATGTTACATTTATTCACTGTAGAATGTTTTACTCAGTAATTAATTGAGAGAATAGCCCAGAGCCCAAATTTAAGCAGAAATTTGTGGGATTGTATGAAGCCATAAGTTAATATCCAACCTTCAATTTCTCCATCTGTATAATAAAGATAAGAATGTATTAATATGCCTATCATTTTACAAAATAAAATGCAGAGACAGTGCATTTGTTATGAAGACTAAATTCATATATTTTTCTGAAAACATTGCTATCATTATCAGTGAATTATAACTGATAATCATCATGACTAGTTTTTTATCATGACTAAGTAATTCTCTCTTTACACTGCTCACATAGGCCATAAATACTTGGTTTCATAAAATAACAGTCTTGAGGATTTTTAAAAATGAGCACTGGAGACTAAAATGTTATATTTTCTTTAAGGGCAAAATTGAAACCAACTATAAAAAGTAATTTACTCTATTTAAAAATTGCCACTATTGGTATTTTTTAAATGCAACATAATTTTCTTGTATTAGTGATGCAAATAAAGTCTGATTGTAAAAAAACTTTAATTAGAGATTGAACATGTCTTAATTAGGAAGAAATAAAAACTAAAGACAAGTACTTTTTAATAGATTCTGAAATTGAAATTTTAATAAATGCAAAGTAATTCAATTGAAATTTTAATGCAAATTAGTCTTCGAATCCACTCTTAGTTTTTAAAATATACATTTTACATGGGCACATTAGGCTCCATATGTGAAATCTGTTTTAAGAAGGGCCTGTGTTTTTTCAAGAAAAATAATTGAAATTATCCTTATGCATCACTACAAGTCATGTATGAAGATCAAGGCCAGCTTAAAGTAGGCAGAGTTCTTCATGACCAGCACACTTGTTTGATCAGGGGAATTGTTTAATGCAGGAGGAAAGACTCCCTCCACTCTGTATTTTCAGCTCCTTGCTATGGTAGGGTGAATTTATGTCATCTATTTTGGCTTTAGTGCTCACAACAAAACACCAAACATGAATTCATTTTCGCATAAAGGAAATTATTTGGTATAAGAACTTTTTTTTTCATATTTCAAAAAAGGTAAAAAAATATATCATCTTAAAATTTTCAAAAATACTAGAAAATCTAGCATTGGCGGGTGAAGGAGCAACTGTTCGGAAGTTTTCTGAATGTTTCTGCTTCATGTCCCTTCTTCACTCTGAACACGTTTTCTTGTTCCCATGCACCTTTGTTCAGACCTGAAGCTCCAGTCGAATGCTGTAACATTACACCTCCAAATTATGGAAACCGCGGAGTAGCATCTGAGTAACTCCCACTTTCCAGATACAGGGTTTACTAAGAGAGCTTGAGTTCCTGACCTTAATTCCCCCTGAGTTCTAGCTTCAGATATGCTACCCATGTGATTGTGTCAGCGCAGAAATGTAAAAACAAAAAAAAATTCTTAGCTTAGCCTTCTCATCAGGCCCAAGATATAATCCAGATCCATTTGCTCTTCAGACTGATAAATAATTCTAATAACTCACAAGAATGTTGTTTGATTTTTAAATGATTTAATAATTTCAAGGCATTCAATTAAAAATTAACTGTTGCGATTATCTTGTTTTTTATAGGTTGTGGCTGAAGTTAACAGTGAATTTCAAATCCAGGTAATGTATAACAAATCCATTTATTTCAAATTTTAAAAAATGATGGTTTGAGGGGCCAGGGATTTAGCTCAATGGTGCCACCGCCTGCCTCCCAAGCACAAGGTCCTGAGTTTGATCCCCGGCACCAAAAAAAAAAAAAATCATTTGGGAATAACATGTTTTACCAAGGAAATTCATTCTTATAAGTAAAGTTAATGTAATGCTGAATTTAATGAACTATTAAAATTATCAATTTTCCTAATTAAATATCCTCTCCTGATACAATTATTCCATCTCCAAAATATCCAGTGGAATATGAATTAATGCATATTATTATTTTATCCTACTTATCAAGGTAAGAGATTACAATGCTAAAAATGGCACCATCAAGTGGCATTCAAGCAGAAGACAAAAACGTGAGTGGATAAAGTACGCTGCAGCCTGTCGTGAAGGCGAAGACAACTCTAAGAGAAATCCAATTGCCAAAGTAAGTGACAACCCCAAAGCATGGGTGTGAGATTTAAATTGGGTGGGTTGAAGTTTCAAAAGAACCAGTCTTTGAAACAATGTGTAAGCGTATGATATAGAGTTATAGTCATTTAAATTATGAAAATTAAAGCTCCAAGAAAGATAAATTTTAAAAAATTATATATTAAACATCAACTCACCTTACTGGCAAAACTAATAAACCTGAGCATATGTCACCCTGAATGCTAAATGAAAAAAAAAAAAGGCAGTGAAATAAGAATGAATTTAGCACTTTGCATACAAAGAGGAATTTTAACATATCTGCCATTTCTGCTTCATAATCTATTAGGATTGAGCTGGTACTTCTGTGCTTTCTTAGGAACATTCACAATGCACCTCTTCTTACTGACTTTTTACTTTTATTTTTCCTATCTTCCTCTACAAACACACGTGTACACACACACAGCTATGAACACAAATATAGACATTCACAGATATATACACTTCCCAGGAAGATTTGCATAGTCATATAATAATGTATTCCAAGAAAAGTGAACCGACCTCTTTCCTTTCCTGCTAATACATCATCCCTATCTTCAGAATTAAAAGCTTCTATGTAGAGTCAAGGAACTTTTTTACCTATGTAAATTCACTTAAAACTTTGTGCCAGCACTTCACTCTTTTTTAAGTTTTTTAATCTGAGTATCAGGTGAGTTCTGTTCCTTCAATCAAGTCATTCAATGAAGTGATTGCTAACTAGGGAATTGTATACAGTATAGTGTATTACAAAACTCAGAACAAAAAAAATGGTCAAAAGAAACTCCAACTTGGTGACTTTTCTTTTGTTTGCGCAACTCTCACATGCAATTTTATAATGTCTAAAGAGCATAAAACTATAGTACTATACTGTATAATACAATCAGCAAAAAATTAGTTTTATATAAACAAGGTGTACTGTACAAAAATGACACTGAGGCTTTATAAACAAGATGTGCACAACTGTTACAAAAAAAAAGAGAAGGGCTGTAAGTGCAAGCGACAGGTCATAAATAACAAGCTTTAAACAGGGATGTCATTAAATGAAGAGTGTATGAAAACAACCTCAAATCATAAATGTTGAGTGAATGATGACTGCATGGATTTAGATTTGTTAGGGTGACAGCTTACATTTTTATTGTTTGGGAGAAATAGAAATTGACTTTATTTTATTACAGTGCCAATTACCATTAAAAATACTGCAATTTCAATGTGAAATAGGAAGAAAGGGTATAAAGGGGAAGGGGAAGTGGGAGGGAAAAACAAAGAAGGGAAAGGAATTAATATGAGGAAACAAAGTCTTTGTAGATAAGGAGGGGTGGAGGGATTGAAGGAACGGCAGGGAATAGGGAAAAAAAAAGAACCAAGATGGGTTATGTAAATGTGCAAATTTCCAATGATGAATGTCATTGTATTTATACCTTAAATGTACTGATAAAATTAATTTTAAAAACTGCCTTTTATACAGTCATAATTATTATATGAAAACACCATAATTATTATACACATCTAACAAAATAATGCTTTGTTTTCGATGTTTCCCAAATGACAAGAACAGCACACTGAATAATTCTCAGGAAAGATATCTATTATCTGAAAGAGGAAGGATTCTTTATTTCCTCTCTGTAATGTTTCCACTGTGTTCCATCTGCAGATTCATTCAGATTGCGCTGCAAACCAGCAAGTCACCTACCGCATCTCTGGAGTAGGAATTGACCAGCCGCCTTACGGAATCTTTGTTATTAATCAAAAAACTGGCGAAATTAATATAACATCTATAGTTGATCGAGAGGTCACTCCTTACTTTATTGTAAGTAGTTTTCTTGTCGTTGTGTATGTTCTTGGAAAAATATTAGAATTTTTCTTGAAAATCTTAAACTCATATCACGATTGATTTCAAGAGTCACAATATAGGCATTTTTGTTCATCTGAATTTAGAAGCATCTCGACAGAGACAAAGAAAACTAAGAGAAAAGGGAATATATTTTTCTGAGGTGTTAGCAAAAACAACAGCCTCCAGTCAGCCAGCCCTTTTTGGGAAACAAGAGTCTTTGTTTGGACGGACAAGTAGCCAACTCTTAATATTTTATTTTGATATTTTTTCAATTGAAAATACTGGTTCCTTTGAACTCCATCGCCTAACAGTGATTCCGGAGTGACCACCAGATTCTTCTCTGAGTGAATATACTTTATTATAATTTGCTTGAGCTCACCTGAGCTCTAAATGAGCCTTGGAAATGTATCCGTCCTTCTCTGTGTCCCCTCCGTGCTTCACAGGCACTGTCCCACACTGCCTTCCAACCCTCGGCCCCATCTCTCCTTAAGACACTTCACTAAAAAAGCTGAGGCCACCTATCACAAATCCCCATAATGCTCTCTCCTCCAGAAGTGTTATTCATCCCGTCCAGCAGCAGATTCAGCCTTTCGCTGTTTCCCGCAGCTTGTCTCAAGACATTCTCACTGTCCCTTAATTACCCATTTCTTCAAGAATCTCATGCCATCAGCCTTGTTGTGTCATTTCTCTCCTGCTTACCCCACTGACTGCTTCCATTTCCACCCAAAATGGTGGCCAACACTTCTTAATACTTAAAAGAAAAAAAGAAAAAGAAAGGAATTTAAAAAAAAAGAAAACCCTTCTTTGAGCATGTAATCTCTTCTGTTAAAATCCAAACAATCCATATCCCTAAACACCTTCAAAGAAGAAGCTGCATTTGCTGTTCTTGCGCGTACTTCTCATTCCTGGGACTATTTTAATTCCCTAGCTTTTAATTCCTTTTAATTTATCTGCAGTTTCACCTTTTATTCCATGATGTTTCGCCACAGCCTCTCCAAATCAGCAAGCCAGTCTCTCAGCTGTTCTTAAAGCACGATGCTTTTATATAAAATACGCAATACATGGCCTGCCTTGCAAGCGCAAGGACCCGAGTTCAATCCCCAGTACCAAAATAATAATAATAATAATAATAATAATAATAATAATACACAATACATGTGAAATAGTACACATGGTACTTATGCACAGTTCGAATAATAATAATAAATACCCACAGGCACTGCCTAGCTTAAGAGTGCTGCATTTCTTTGAGGTTTCCCTGCGACCTTCCTTTACAGCCTTTTCACTACTCCCACTATAACCTCTATTCCTATTTTCTCACACAGAATTTGCATTATTCTATTTCTTTCCTGATAAGAACCCCTTTGTTTGGAACACCTTCCCAATTCCCAGATCCATCTATTGAAATTCTCTTTCAAGATTTATTTCAATCATTACATTCTCTTACAAAATCAGAATAGTTTTGTTCTTCCTAGTACAGCTTATTATGTGTTGCCTTTTTTAAAAAATCATTTTGTGTTCATGTTTGCCCTCTCATCACTTGTGCCTATATTCTAATAGGAAATAATAATATGTATTATTTCTCTTTTAATTTATCATGTAGCAAAATCCCCCCAAGTAGAACTTAATAAATATGTGTTTCACCATATAACCAACCATTCTTTTCTCTCCTAGATCGTTTGCCGGGCTCTGAATTTACAAGGTCAAGATTTAGAGAGGCCTCTTGAGCTCAGAGTCAGGGTTTTGGATATAAACGACAACCCTCCAGTGTTCTCCATGACTACATTTATAGGACAAATAGAAGAAAATTCTAATGCAAGTAGGTGATCTATTTTATGAGGTAAACAAGAATATATTGGCCTCAAGATCATTCTTAACAGTCAGGCAACTACAGACTAAATTGTGTCTAAGTAAATATCACGAATGTTAAAAGATATGCTGTGGGAAAGCATTCAAATCAGAAAGGCTGTCCCTTCAGCTGTGGAAGTAGCTCCAACCTGTCGTACACAATGAGCAAAAGAAACAAGGATGACTTACTCATGTGACTCATAAACTCGCTCTTAGCCAGATTCCCTAATTAAAAATCCCAAGAATGTCCTGCATAGTAACGGCAGGGGCATAAGGTGAGAAATTAGCCTCCCAGTCTCACTGCACTGAAGGGAAAGCCCGCCTACTTCTGATCGTGTGGTTTTCAGTCAACCCTTTTATTGAGAGTTAATATTTGCACATTTTTATGAAGTACATCATGGCAGTGCAATGAAGGTAATAATATGTGATAATCAAATCAGAATAAGCATGTCCACCTCACCAACCGTCAATCACTCATCTTTTCTACTTATTTTGAAATGTATCCTTTTTTTTTTTTTTTCTTTTTGGTTGTTCCAGAGACTGAATTCAGGAGCTTGTGCTTGTGAGGCAGGCACAGTGCTGCTGAGCTAAATCCCCGGCCCTAACATAGATTGTTTTAACCCATCATCCTGCTGTGCTAACCAGAACTAACTCATCCATTTTTGGTGCCCTTATTGAACTTCTTAGAGGTCATTATGTTAAGGAAAACCAACTACAGAGAGATAAATACCACATGTTCTCCCTCATGCGTGGAAACCAGTGAGAACAGGAGAAGATATGGTCACTAAAGTCTGGGAGAGGAAAGAGAGGAAAGGAGAGAAAGAACTTAAATATCTTAAAGTCTCTCATAAAAATCAATTCCACATTATCTACTTTGCAGCAGGTGCCTTTGTTGGCAGCAAATAAATTTAAATTGTTTGCTGTTTTCCCCCTTTCTTAAATATGATTTACTAAAGAGAGAGCGAAGAAGAGAGGGGGAAGAGGAGGAGAAAGATAAAGAGGAGAACACAAGAAGCTCTGACACATTTGTAGAAAGATTGCACTTCAAACATTTGGGAGGGTAGAAAATAATTCTACTTTATGAACGAATACTGGCAACTTGTCTTGTTCTCCAGTATTTTGAACAAAACTACTCGTAAGATTCGTTGAAAATCAAGGACAGGACAGTGTACATGGTCAAAACAAACATTTCTTTAAATTTACTACTCAGCACTTAAATAAGGAGCACCTGAAACACAACAATAATATATATTTATTAAAAGTCCATTATTCAATAGAACCTTTATATATGCTTCTCTTACTAGCTATTTAACTGTTGCATGAACTTAATGAAGATGGTATTATTATCACCCTCAGTTAGAGATGTGGACAAAATCATACTATAAAAAGTGTTAAAGTCAGGAAAAAATTGATCTGGCCTTAATTTCACTAAGTTTTATTGTAAGTATCCTGAACAAACAAAAGAACAAATTATACTAAATAAGAAATAGAAAGCCAAAGTAATATTTCCTTTGCTTCCTAACTATAGTAATGTCTAGGCTCCTAGGAATATGTGATGTTTTGTTCAAGATGAAGGTAAAGAAAAACGCTAAGATATCCATATGCTGAAGAAACAGTGAGCGAAGATAGTGAAATACATGTTCCATGGACCAACTGACTTTAAATATTGTTAGAAAGCTAGTGCGCCGTGGAGTAAGATTCACAGAAATATAAACTATTCATTAGCAACACATTTTCTTTGTTTCCTAGATACCTTGGTGATGAAACTCAATGCTACTGATGCAGATGAACCAAACAACCTGAATTCAAAAATCGCCTTCAAGATTATAAGACAGGAACCCTCTGATTCTCCAATGTTCATCATCAACCGATATACTGGAGAAATTCGAACGATGAACAACTTTCTAGACAGAGAGGTTAATTTTTTTCTTTAAGAGGGTTTTTTACTTGAAGTGACTGATACTGAAATCAAGGTTTTAAATTTTTAATCATATAAGCATTTCACGAAACATAAATGATAAGAAATATTTCAAATGAGAAAATGCAGATTATTAAGTTACATTGATTCCAACATCTTTTATTTAATCAATTGATTACCATTTACTTCAAGTTAAGAAAAGTGTATGGAGAAAGCACAGTAAAATTTGCAGAAACAAGGTAGAGACAAAATTCCATTTTTAAAAGGTGTGTTCTGTAAGGAAATAAATATAGAAATACTTGCTATAATTTCCCCATCTTGATGAATTACAGTGCATATAAACATGGTAGAGGCCCCAAGAATATTTACAGAATATTTCCAGTTCTTTTAACAGCAAAACTCTTTTTTGTGTCCTTTTTATGTAACTCTTATTGACAAATCGATGACTGATATATTTGGAGATGAATCATAGGATCAGAAAAATGGATAGTCGCTAAAAAACATTCAGACCAAATATTTCACTTACAAACGATAGATGATTTATTGTTAATGTATTAAAATAACATTTTATGGCTTCTATCATGTTATGGGGTCACATTTCTTAATTTTTAAATTCCTAGTGTTTTCTTTTTTTAAGAAAGAAAACACCTTTAAATATAAGGTAGAAAAAACTATGTGCACATTAAGGATATGAGAGATGTTTTATTTTCTAACTGATATTCAATAAAATTTTGTTTTAATTATTATAGTCTTTTTTAAATGGCAGTCTCTCTATTAATGATGCATAGGTTTAAATAAATCAGGTTATTTTTATATTTTTAATGGTCCAAATGTGATCAGCTTCAAAGTTAGCTAAACATCTTGTTTTACTTGTTCAAGAGTTCCTATTAGAAGAAAATGATTATTTAGCTTTTTAAAACTTTCTTAAGCAGACCAGTAAGATTCCTTTAATACCCTTTAATATCCAGGGTTCCAAAAGGGGTGGGTATCAGAAGTAAAGGAACTCTGCTGTTATTGGAAACCCTGGAGCCATAAGGCAATCCCAGGATATCTTTACGTATGAATGCCCAAAATATACACTTGTAATTTTGAATGAGTGTGCAATTATGCATGAGTCTTGGAAAGGCTCCAAAGTCTTTGCCAGCTTTTATTGATTTTTTTATTGAGTTTATTGGTACATTCTAAGTATACAGTACAGTTACATTCATTACTGGGATCTTGTACCTCTACATGACAAGTCTTGGTTCTCATTTTTTCCCCTGGTCCCTGCCCTCCCTTCACCCCCTCCTCCCCTTCCTTTGCCAGCTTTTTAAAAGGTCAGCACCATTGAATAGAATAAAAAATAGACGCATCATCAATATCTCAATTGCTACAACTCTGCACTTTCCCAAAATACAAACCAGTTGTGATCTCTATTTTTCTTGCACACTCAAGGGCTGGCTTATATTAAGTATGGAATTTTCGTGCCATAAACCTTTGGTAAGATGATGCCTCCTTGATCATTCTGATCCATTTCATCCATTACAAACTTTTCCAACCTATGCACATGTTAGGATTACTAAGAAGAGAGACCTTATAGAAATACTGCTGCTTTTCAATGATGCTGGATAAACACTGGGAATGCAAGATTGGAAAGAGATGTGTGGATTTTCAAGAGTCTGTTTTACCCTGCCTCTGTCATGGTTTTACAAAAATATTCAGCCCATATTCTCAATGAACTTTACGTAGGACAGAGTAAAGTTGTCTGTATCCGGTGTGATACTGTTTCTAATGTGTTTTTGCAGCAATATGGCCAGTATTCTCTTGCTGTAAAAGGCTCAGACCGAGATGGTGGGGCAGATGGCATGTCAGCAGAGTGTGAGTGCAACATTAAAATCCTTGATGTCAACGATAACATCCCCTACCTGGAGCATTCTTCAGTAAGTATTTGCTCTTGAAATTTCAAAGGTTGTAACTTTTCAGTTCATTGCATTCAGTTTAAAATTCACACAATTCTGTTTGCTGATGTACTTTTTGTTTGCTGACATCCAAGTAAAATATGGAAATTTTTTGTTTTTGTTTACACAAAAGGAAAAAAAGGTATTTAAGCAAAGAAAAGTGAGATTATAAGCACAGATCTCATTTCTAAGTGGTAAATAACTGTTAGCATTTCAGTATTATCCTAGTACAGTTCTTCTCTCACTCTGTTTTCGTTTTATTTTTACTTCTTGTTTCAGTACAACATAGAAATTGCAGAAAATGCTCTGCATTCAGACTTGGCCCAGATTAGAGTCATTGATTTGGATGAAGAGTACACAGACAACTGGGTGGCAGTGATTTTCTTCATCTCCGGAAATGAGGGAAATTGGTTTGAAATAGAAATGAATGAAAAAACGAATGTAGGAATTCTGAAAGTTGTCAAGGTATGCTATCATTGTCTTAAATTCTGTCATTTCATTTCTTGATCTTTTTTTCAAAATGTTGTTTAAAATATACTGAGAGTAACGTTTTCCAAACTTGAATCAGTGAGAGGACAAACATACGATGTTTTAAAATCATATATGACATAAAGCTTTTTTACATGAAACCCTTCTGCTTTTATCATTTCAGGAAAACAGGTATCAAACTTTAACTTCAAAGTTTTTTTACCAGTACAGTACTTCCAAAAGATAATACAAACTGAAAACATTTTTAAAACCTTATTTTATCCTTATAATAAAGTAGGTTTAATCCTTGAGATTAATGTTTTAAGTGTGTTTTTAAAGCAAATTTTTTTAAATGTGCATGTCAGCATCATATGTCAACTGCATGCACTAAGAATATTTGTCATCTAAATTGAAAGTTGTTTATTCCTCCAACATGTTTTATATAATTAAAGTGAAATCATTTATAATTGTTGAATTCCCATATTCACTTTTCACTACTGACCAAGGCTTATTAGAAAAATATAGAGATTTAGTCCTAATGATCCACAACACTTACTCGCAGATGAGATGGAAAGGGGAAACCAGCTAACTCCTAACAAACAGATAGCAAGGGCTTCATTCAAATCAATAGACTCATAAACTTAAAATTCTAAATCTATAGTAGCTGTCAATGGATTATACATAATGCACACAATACGTGTTCTTCACAGTAAAATAAAACCCCTCTCTGACTAGTTCTTTCTTTCAGAATAACCCTGGGAAACTGACTTTTAAAGAATTCTGTCCCTATAGGAAAGTGTGGGCGTTTGCCTTCTTTGTTTTCATGGTGTCACCATGCTGATAGCTTCCATTTGCTTCAAATGGTACAATGTGTTAGTTTCTCTCACAAAGCACTCCTAAGCTTTAGGTTTTCTCCCACCCATATTGCAGTGAAGAGATGGAGGCTCAGGGAAAGATGTAAATCCCTCAAGTTCCATAGCTATTAAGTGGAACAACTGGCATTCAAATCTAGGTTTCCCGGCTATGAAATTCACATTCTTTCATTACTAGGGTGATTGGATCTTACTCTGTTTCACCCCATACATTGATGTTATTTTAATTCATTGTTTAATGTAGTAGCTCTCAGTATCTCTATCTGTAAAATGGGGTAATTATTCTCAGATGTAGTATCATACGTTCAATCCTTTGTTTGGAATATATATGCTAATACAGCTATACTTTAAACTATAATAAAACACTAGAAAAAATATTTAAATTTTAGCTAAATAGCAGAGGTCAATGAGTAAATCTCTGTTTGTATCTAAATTACTGTACTCGTGTAAAATTCAGAAAAATATATTAGGTACCTAAGGGCATAATGGCATAGTTGTTTATGTAGATTTTCTGAGTTATGATTTTTGACATCACCTTTCATAATGAAAATATTATTTCATTATTTTATAATATAAAATCATTTTTTCTAGAATGGATTGAAGAAAAAGAGGATTTCTTCATACTAAGGTTCTATTACCTGACTTATTCAAAAAGCCCCATTTACAAAAGCAAAATCTCTTCTTAATTCTTTATGGGTAAAACTAATCAAATGATCAAACCTAAAAAATTGTTGACCCATACCTTGTTATAAATAGAGCTACTTTCTGAGAAACATGAAATGATAAATGCTAACATAAATTGTCTTTGCACTACAAAATTCATGAGTTTGGCCATCTGTGCTATTTAAGATTTTAACTTGGTAGGCAGGTAGAGCTCATGTCACATGTTTTCTTCAAATATTTCAACAACATTTATAGCACAACTGGGTTTTGTTCTTCTTATGCTGTATTTGCATGTATTACATTGAACTGCTGATCAAGGAAGTAATAAATTGGGTATGTGTATGCTTTCATGTTTATAAAAATATTTACTATTCTGAAGAGAATCCCTCTTCTGGAATGTTTTCTTTTCTTTTTTTCAGTACTGGTGATCAAACTCAGGACCTTGTGCTTGCAAGGCAGGTGACAGAACCACTGAGCTACACCCCAGCCCTGGAGTGTTTTCTTATAGTAAAACTATTTCACTCTGTGTTTTCTAGCCCCTAGATTACGAGGAGACAAAGAATCTGCAACTCAGTATTGGTGTTAGAAATAAAGCTGAATTTCATCATTCAATTATGTCTCAATATAAACTCACGGCTACTGTAGTCTCTGTGACTGTGACAAATGTAGTGGAAGGCTCAGTGTTTCGCCCAGGTACAAAGACATACGTGGTAACAAGTAACATGGAAGCAAATTCTAAAGTGGGAGAGTTTGTCGCTATTGACATGGACACAGGCTTACCTTCAACAACTGTTAGGTAAGAGTAAGCTTCCAACTTTCACTGCCTACTGAACTTAAATACACACGTTGTTTTCAGGCATTTACATATCAGAATTAATACATTTTCCTTTATTTCTGGAACCATCATTCAATTTGCAAACAGCATTGTCTACTGAACTGCTACTTACAGTGATTTTTTAAAATATAAAAATGTGTGTAAGATGTAAGCTGTGAAACTATGATGATATAAAATATGAGAAATATTGTAGAAAGTTTGGGCATACTCTGTTTATGTATCATATTGATCAATTAGCTGATTACTATATGCTATAGTCTTCCCCTTCTCCCACCCCAACCCCCTTCTACCCCCCAGCCAGAGAGGGTTTCATAGGACTGATCTTCCCATTGCAAAATTGCTTAGCTTGAAATTGACTGGACTTAGTTAACTCACTTTGGTTGTTTTCTTCATTTTAATCAGCACCAAATAGTGGTCAGTAATTTTCCTTTGAGAAGCTAGTTATATTAAGGAGAAAATAGGCTGTGCCATTTTAAAAATTCTTTATGTCCAAATCTTTCACTTAATATGAAAAATATTTCTGTCCTCATGTGCATGTGTGTGTGTGTGTGTGTGTGTGTGCTTGCACGTGTGTTTATCTGCACCTGTGAATATGATCATGAACAATGGGAGAAAGACCTCTCCAATGTGGTCACCAACACTGGGAGTTCTTTCTCCACAGTCTCTTCATGCAGCGTGAGTATCTTTGTCCTCCCTGCTGTCACACTGGATCACCGTTGTTAATGGCCTTCTTGTACCCCAAGCAGTGAGTTCACTGAGGGTAGGCACACCCTCACCCTAGGTCTTCTCAAAGTTCTGCTCTCTGCGCTTAGCACAGTGCCTGAGACAGTTACCTAACAGTGTTTGTTTCACAACTATGTGGATAAGAAGGGAAACAGCAGGGGTCAAAGATGAGAGAAGACTAGGATGGATGCACACGGCAAGGACAGAGTTTGCAATTCGAGAAGAGTCTTGCAAAGTCACCGTGCAAGGGAGGAGGAGGGACCACAGGGAGGGAATACAGGCCCAGGTCATGAAGGCATGGTAATTTTTGTTGCTGTTTTTATTCTCGTTATTATTGTTGTAAGAGAATAGTTTAGATTAGGCCCAGCCCAGGAAATCCCAGGGTGTAGATCTTCTGGGATAGTTCTGCTGCCACCAAACAAAAATGAGAGTGAAAACATAAAAGGAATATTCTGCCACCCAAGTGGATATAAAAAGATATCCCATCAAAAATGATTGCTTAACAATTCTTTCTTCATAACTTAAATCGTTTCCTGCTTCTGAATGGATGCATAGAACGGGTACTGCTTTCAAAAAGAAATCCTCTGGGTCAGGAATTTAGCTCAGTGGTTCTGCCCCCTGCTTTGCAAGCACAAGGTCCCAAGTTCAATCCCTGGTAGAAAGAAAGAAAGAAAGAAAGAAAGAAAGAAAGAAAGAAAGAAAAAGAAAGAA